GGGGGGGGGGGCGGCGCTATACGAAAAGATAATTGTGCGCACCTCTGCTTGTCAGTTAATATTTCCATATTTCAGATAAATCATAAATCACGAGTTCACAACGAGGCCAAAAAATATTCCCAAGGGATAAGCCAATGAGAAGCCGAGGAGAGAGGAGAGGAAGGGAGATAAACGAGAGAGGCGAGAGAGGAGAGACAGAAGAGCGAGGAGAGCGAGGAGAGAGGAGAGAGGAGAGAGGAGAGAGAGGAGAGCGAGTAGAGAGGAGAGAGAGGAGGGAAGAGAGGAGAGAGGAGAGAGGAGAGAGGAGAGGAGAGAGGAGAGAGGAGAGAGGAGAGAGAGCGGAGAGATAAAGAAGACGAAAGAAGCAGTAAGGAGAAGGGGAGAAGTGGAGAAAATAGATAGGAAAAAAAATGGCGGGAAAGTGAATCACTGCTAGTGTTTGCCTGAGCGGTAGAGATGAGTGGACACGATACTTACTCATACTGTATTACAACTTTTTTGCACGTATAAGGCCTAAATGACGACCAGGTTCCCTCAAAATAGTCGTCCCGGTAGTGTGAATATCCTCCAGGAGACTGCCTAGCATATAATGACTGACTAACAACCGAGAGCAAAAAGGACCGCCCCCCTGGTCTTGCATTATGTCTAGGTGGGGGGGTGATAGCAGGGTTGGATTTTCAGCCGAGATGGATCATGACTTGAATAATGGGCAAGTGCACGCTAAGAATGATCAGGATTAAAACAATAATAATAATAAGGATTCAGCATCCGGATGGAACTGTGAAAGTCTTAAAGGAATGTATGTCACAGCCCCCTCTGATTATTGTCGTATTTACATCTCTCTCTCTCTCTCTCTCTCTCTCTCTCTCTCTCTCTCTCTCTCTCTCTCTCTCTCTCTCTCTCTCTCTCTCTCTCTAGCTAGCTAGCGAGAAACGGAGTGGCATTAGAAAAACTGCAAGTTTCCTTCGTGAAACAGAAGGAGAAGATGAGATACATATGTACATATATAATATACATATACATATAAACATGTATACATATATACACGATATATACACATATATATACATATAAATGTATCTATATTTACATAAATACAGCCCCTCGTTTGTTGTCCTCTTCTCTCTCTCTGCCTACGGTTTTACCGGGCAGTTCTGTTTGTGACGATATATACATATATTTATGTATAAATATCGTCATCCATATACTATGATATACGTATATATATGCCAATGAACGAGAGGCACGTCAGCACAGGGGAGAATGCAACGGCGGCAAACGTGGCGTTGGCCACGTCAGCTTCGTCCTGCTGACGTGTCCTTCAGGTCGTAAAGAAAATCATCAGAAGCCTTGATGAGAAAAGCCATGGAGATTTCTATTTCTGGAAGAAGAAAAAAATGAAGAGAAAAGATCCATGTTGTTCCAGGAAAAGACAACACGAAAACACCGGCCAAATAAACTTTGGGGGCGGGGGGGGAGGGGGAATAAACTGTGGAGGGGCAACGAAAAAAACAAAAAAAAAAAAAAAAAAAAAAAAAAGCGGATAAAGGAAAACCCCTCAACGCAAGAAAGACGGTCAGCGTCTTTCTGTTTCTTCTTTCCCATAAGGGAAGAAAAATGGAGAGCCAGCTTAAAAAAAAAAAAAAAGTTGAAAAAAACAAAACCTTCCCTTCACCTTCTCGGCCCTCCTCGTATACTTCCTTCTTAAAAAAAAAAAAGTTGAAAAAAAAAACCTTCCCTTCACCTTCTCGGCACTCCTCGTATACTTCCTTCTTAAAAAAAAAAAAAAAAAAAAAAAAGGGCGACAACCTTGATATATCATCGTTGGGTCTGACTGGCCCCAGGGTATTCAGAATTACTCGATTTCCTGTCATTCATCTGGACTCGAACTTGGGTCCGATTCATATTTCAACAGTTCATGGGATTACCAACTAAGCTAGGCTCGTTGGCGTATAGTTCCCCTCTTCTCTCTTCCTTCTCCTCCTGTCCCCCCTTCCTTCATCCTCATCCCTCTCCCTCTCCTCCTTCCTACACCAACTAGGCTACCGTCTTCCCCCGAACATAACGCACCCTAAAAATGAATGTATAAAAGCTATATTTCCAAGCCAGATACGGCCAAAATAAGGGTGCGTTGTGTTCGGGGGAAGACGGTAGGCTCGTTGGGAAATAGTTCCCCTCTTGTCTCTTCCTTCTCCTCCCTCCTCCTTTCCCTCTCCTCCTCCTCCTTCCCCCTCTCCTCCCTCTCCCTCACCCTCTCCTCATCCTCCTCCTTCCACCTCTCCTCCATCCTCCGTTCCCTCTCCTCCTCCTCCTTTCCCCTCTCCTCCTCCTCCTCCTCCTCTCCCTCTCCTCTCTCATTTCACTCCCTCTAGCTTTTTTTTTTTTTTTTTCGTTCTCTAATCACACTGACGACATTAAAAAACAATCCGTAGAAGACCCGCTGCTCTCTTGATCCTCGATCCCACGATCTTTGCATCGATAGGAACTCTGTCCTTCTCTTCCTTTTTTTTGTCCCAATTTTGTGGCACTTTTTTTTTTTTTTTTTTTCCACATAAACATCGACTGAGGCGGCACTTTGACTTCTTCGAAGAAGTCAAAGCTTCCAACTTCACTATCGGCCGATGTGCGCGCACTTTTCCTTCTTTTTTTCCTTTTTTTTTTTTTTTTTTTTTTTTTTTTTTTTTGAGCTCAGCCATGGCGGCGAAGCTCGCCCAGACCAGCTGGCTGAACGGTACACACACATGATGTACCTGTGTTAGTAAACAGAACATGAGTTCGAATCCTGGTGGCAATCAAATGGGAGCGATCGCTTGAAACAAAAAAAAAAAAAAAAAGCAAAGGGCAAACTCCTTTGAGTCCTTTACAAACAAAGAAGAAAACAAGAAAGCCCGCGCGGAGGCCGCCGCCCACACTCAAGAGGGCTCGCATTGCGCGTGTCCAGGCGCACACTGCGCGCGTCGGGCGCTGCCGCTGGGATGGCACGACTTGGGTGGTCCCGCCTCATTGTGCACTGCCCAAGCCACCGCCAACAGCCATTCGACAAGATCTCTCTCTCTCTCTCTCTCTCTCTCTCTCTCTCTCTCTCTCTCTCTCTCTCTCTCTCTCTCTCTCTCT